GAGCATCTGCAAGCTTCTTCCCAATATGGAGTTGTGGACTTCAGACTTTATAGACTCCAGGTTCCAGCCTCACTGAATTCCTTATAGCTCCCTACCACAAGCTTGTCATTCTCAGACCATGTGTGTGGACAACTGTCCCTCAATGTTGAGAGAAAGCTCACTTCTTAAGACTTAGTTCAATGAGGCTGGGAAGATGGCTCATTGATAGAGTGCTTGCCTTGTATGCATGAAGTCCTGGGTTTGATTCCTCAGCACCACATAAGCAGAAGAAGCCGGAAGTGGTGCTGTGGCTCAAGTGGTAGAGTGCTAGCCTTGAGCTGAAGAGCTGAGAAACGGCGCTCAGACCCAGAGTTCAGGCCCCACGACCAACAACAACAACAAAAAAAGACTTAGCTCAAGAGGGGCCAAGTCCTATATGTCATTTCCTGCCAGCTTGCGACTTGCTTCTTTCTACATGGAAGTTCCCATAATACTTTGTGCCTCTGTTAATAGTGCATTGCTTTTTTGTCTGTCTTCCCACTCAGAAAATGTTTCTCTTAAACAGAATTCTTAATCTTCTTCATATCCTCAGGTTTGTGCTGGTCTTGGGGCCTGGGCATTGTCTCTTAGCTTTTTGGCTCAATGCTGGTACTCTACCACTTGAGCCACATTTCAACTTGTGGCTTTTTGGTGTTTAATTGGAGAAAAAAGTCTCCCAGACTTTCTTGTCTGGGAGCCCAGATCCTCAGATCTCAGCTTCCTGTGGATTACAGACATGAGCCACCAGTAGCTAGTCCCATATCTCCAGTTTTTAATTGAGAAGTTGGTATTTCTTAGGTTATTTACTGAATGAACAACAGGACATATATCACTGAATGAACAAAATGTAGATTAAATGAACAAGTGACAAGATGTTTCTATGAGAATGTTTTGGTCGTGGGTTATATAAAAGTTATTTGCAATAAAGAAAGTTCCAACTCAAGATCAATTCTTAAATTTTAATAATGATCACAACACCTTCAGCTGTTTAGAAGCTCCTGGTCATTGTACCCTTGCCAGGTAAACAAGCCTTTAGAAAATGAAAGAAGAAAATAACAGGGCTGGGAAGGTGGCTCAGTGGTAAGAGTGCTTGCCTTGCATGTATGAGGCCCTGGGTTCAATTCCTCAGCATCACATAAGCAGTGATAATAAGTGAGGCTGTGGCTTAAGTGGTAGAGTGCTAGCCTTGAGCTGAAGAGCTGAGGGACAGCGCCCAGGCCCAGAGTTCAGCCTTGAGCTGAAGAGCTGAGGGACAGCGCCTAGGCCCAGAGTTCAGGCCCCACAACTGACAAAAAAAAAAAAAAAAAGCAAGAGAATAACAATAGCATTACTTAAAAATGTTAACATTTAACCTGGCGCCAGTGGCTCATACCCGTAATCCTAGCTACTCAGGAGACTAAGATCTAAGGATCCCAGTTCAAATATAGCCCAGGCAGGAAAGTCCATGAGACTCTTATCTCCAATTAACCACCAGAAAACCAGAAGTGATGCTATGGCTCAAAGTGGTAGAGCACTAGCCATGAGCTGAAGAGCTGAGGGACAGCACCCAGGCCCAGAGTTCAAACCCCATAACCATCAAAAAAAAGAAAGAAGGATAAGAAGGAAGAAAGAAAGAAGGAAAGAGAGAAAGGAAGGAAGGATGGAAGGAAGGAAGGAAGGAAATACATATAGCATTAAAAAATATAAAAGAATGGCATGAAATAGGGTGCCACACTTCAGTGAGGCGTGGGAGCTACAGTGATATATTTATAAACTGGCCACTCATAGCTAATGTCTGTAATTTAGCCACTCAGGAGACTGAGATCTGAAGGATTATGGTTTGAGGCTAGTTTGGACAGAAAGCCCATGAAACTTTATCTATAAAAATCAGCAAAAATCTGGACGGCAGCATGGTTCAAGTGGTAGAATACTAGTGAGCACAGCAAGCACCAGGCCCAAGGCCAATCATGGAATTAAGCGAGAGAGATCAAGATCATGTCTCTCTATAAGCTGGCAGCCATATGGCAATGGTTACCCTGGAGAATGAAAGACTTGGGCGACAAAGGCAGAGTGGTCTAGGCATACTGCTATAGCATGAGGACCTCTGGACCTGCAGGTGTGTACCACAGCTGTGCACTCTTGGCCAGGAGATAGGAGGCAGTATGTTACAATGATTCCACCATGCAGCCTGGTTAACTAGTAGTGTGCACAAATAATGTGTGCTATTTCTTGGCCATAGTATTTTAATGCCAGCACACACCCCTCCAAAGTGATATTTATACTGTGATAATAACACAAAGCATCCAAGACAGTCACTGCTCCCTTAGCCTGGAATCTGGAGGGAAAATACACAAAACGCACTTGATGCAATGGATGCATGGCACTGTCAAGAAAAAGACCCTTTGCTTTTTAGGGTCATTAAAAATTAGAATTCTTTCTTACTTAGCACCACATGGCCTGTACTGATAAGTCCCACCAATGGTTGAGAGTTTCAGGAAGACCAATTCTCTGTAATAAAAGAAAAAAAAATGTGATAAAGTATACATTAATGGAATGAACTACTCTGGAAATTCTTCACCTGTGCACACAGTACATTATGGAACTCTTTCTGTGGTAAACACTCTGGACAAAATCCTTATCTATGGGAGTAAATGATGAGTTCTCTTCCACCTAAGAGGTCTCCATCAAATAACCCTAAAGGAGAGAATGAACAAAGTACCTTTAAAAATATCTTTCCACTCGGGGTAGTTGCTCATGCCTATAATTCTAGTTACTAGGACAGCTGTGATTAAGAGGACAGCTACATGGGAAATGTAAAGAGGATTGAGGTCCAGGCTGGCTTGGACAAAAATGACACTCTATTTTAAAAAATAATAAAACTAAAAAGGGCCAGGGACTTGGTAGGCGCAAGGCCCTGAGTTCAAAGACCAATAATGTTAAAAACAAACCAACCAACAACAAAAAACCCCCAAAACAACAAAGTTCTAACCCAGACCATCAAGATCTCTATTTTCTCAACTTCAGTAACTGGGGTGTGAACTTGGGGCTTTGCATTTGCTAGGGAGGCACTCTACCACTTTAGCTACACCCCTCTTTTTGCTTTATTTTTCAGATAGGATCTCAAAGTTTTGGCCCAGCAATGGCTCCCAACTGCAGTCCTCCTGCAATATGCCTCTGGGTAGCTGTGATTACAGATGGAATGCAACATGGGTAGCTTATTTGTTGAGATGGGGCCTCACTAACTTTTTGCCTGGGCAGGTCTCCAATGGTTATCTTCTCAGTCTCTATCTCCCAAGTCTCTGGGATTACAAGCATGTGCCTTACTCCAAGTAGTTTTGCATATTAGCTACTGTTATTGACAATTTGGTATATTTCATGTTTATTTGTTTTATAACCAGTTTTTGAAAAAAAATCTAGTAGCACCAATATATTTGTCATTCTGGCTGCTATAACAAAACACTCGAGACTGAATTTGTAAACATCAGATATTTATTGGTCACAGTTCTACTGTCTGGGAGATGCAAGGACAAGGTACCTGTAGGTTCACGATTTGATTTCACAAATGGCCCTTGTCTCTGTGTCACCATGTTGTAGAAGGTATCTATCTAGCCCAAGCTTCTTTTCTTTTTCTTCCTTTTTTTTTTTTTTGGTCAGTCATCGGTCTTGAACTCTGGGCTTGGGCACTGTCCTTGTGTTCTTCAGCTCAAGGCGAGCACTCTACCACTTGAGCCACAGCACAACTTCCGGTTTTCTAGTGGTTAATTGGAGGCAAGAGTCTTATGGACTTTCCTGACCGGGCTGGCTTTGAACCGGGATCCTCAGATCTCAGCCTCCTGAGTAACTAGGATTACAGGCCTGAGCCACCAGCACCCCGCTCTCAAGCTTCTTTTCTAAGAACAATGATCTCAGGGGAGGTTCACCCAAAGCCCCCGAATGAGCCCTAGATTCTAACATATGATTGGGGGATATTAATATTCAAATCAAAGCAACTCCTCTAATATGTTTCAAGAAAGATTCTCTTTTCTAAAAAGACCTTGTACTTTTGAATTTGTGGCCAATTACACTAAGGAAGTAATATTTTAATTCAGTATTTAATGAGTCCCTACTGTGTGCCAAGAGACAGGTTTACAGAAGTTTATGAAATTATGTTACTTGGTGCACTGCATCCAGAATGCCATAATCCTAGTTGTAATACAGGAACCCAGGAACTCTCTACACAAGGCTATTTAGAGAGGGAAAAAAGAAAATTCAAAAGGTTGGAAGCAAAATGTTCTTTGGTTTAACTTGGGGGTGGGGGGGAGGGAAATTGCATACTTTAAATAGTGGAAGGCTCAGTGGATAATTTGGGGAAGCAGGTAAGTTTATAAGTATGTAACAGAGAAAAAACAATTCTGTTTGGAGTTTGACATTTCTGTGAAGCTTTGCATCAGCCTTCCCAAATTGGAGAATCAGCTGCTTGCTATGAGATATCACTAATAGACAGTAATTAAAGACGGAGACTATATTTTTCCCGTTTCAAACTAGACATCTAACTCAGATGAAGACACTGGTTTTGGCCAGGCAATTCAGCATTTTGGTAAGTAAAAGATGGGGAATGTGATGTCCCCTGGGACCTGTGGGGACAAAAAGTAATCCAAGAAGGAAAACTTGGGTTTCACTTTGTTTTCTCCATTGCAATCACCGTTTATTTCTTTCCCCTTTTTCTTTTTCAGAACTACGAGTTGAGTTGGGCACTTGTGTCTTAAAGAAAGAAGGGGCTAGTTCAATAAAAGAACACTAATTTATACATGCTTTATATCTTTAGATCTTTGGAGTTGTTCTCTCTTGTTTAAAATGATGATCAACGGAGAAAGAGGGACAAATTCCAGAGAATTCAATCCCCGTGGATAGAAATAGTGGGAGGAAGACACCAGAGAAAGCAGCATGGAATGTACCCGATTTTCTCCTTTATTTAGAAAAATCACACCAAAATGCAGCACAGTCGATGTGTTTGTTACCAGAGCTTGAAATGTGAATCAACCACTGTGTAAAGGATAAAATAAGACTACTGCACGGATATCAGGATTTTCCCAGCGTGCTTTATTCACGAGCATCTGACAGAACAGGACCTAACAGAGCTTTGAGGAAAAAAAAAAAAAAAAACTGAATTGTCAGCCCAGTCACTTTCCAGGAACTTCCCTACAAACAGTACTCTGCGCTGGCGGGGTGGAAATCTTCGCAATCTCTCTCCTGCTTTCTTACTTCTCTCCCCCCACCCCTTACAATTATTTATGGAGACTTAATGAGAGAGCAAACCTAGTGTGAAAGGAACTCAAGAAAGTGCAGCTTCTAAAAATACACCTAAACAGTTCTACTGTCTTCATTGTTACCAACTGACGTTCTTCAATTCATGCCATGAACCTAACAGCTCCACACTCTTACAAAGAGGAAAAAAGTACAAACTACGTTTTCTGTTTCTGAACCCCTTTAGCTTGGAGTAAACAGTAGTAATTTTCTGTTGTCATACTCCATGCAAATTTCTCCAAGGAAACACCACACAAAACAAAAGACCTGTTAACTTCCTTAGAACTGGGGGGTGGGGGTGGCAGGAGGGGGTGGCGGAGGGTGGGGGGGGGGAGAAGGCTGAAGTTGAGATCTAGCTTCAGTTTCTTCTTTAGCCAGGGGTCCTGGGCCTGCAGGAACCCTAAGTTTCAAAGGCGGCCTTGGGAGTTTACCTATTTAGAAGAAGATGCCCTGGAGCCTTGGGTCTCCGGTTCAGGAAATCTGCATTTCTTTTCCTCTTTGCCCAGCTTTTTGGGGGGGTGACATTGGACTTCCATAATGGGCATTTTGATCGAGTGGGTGGCAAAGAAGTACGACTGCCGGCCTGAGGTTAAACAGATACAATGTATTCAGAGGGGCTGGGTAGCAGCGAGGGGGTCTGCGAGGGAGGCCCCCTCATCCGCCTTCCGCCACGTGCTCCTCAGTTGGGGTGCCGAGCTCCAGGCTAGGGCTGAGAGCGGCCAGAGTGAGCTGCAGGGACCAGCAGAGCAGGCTGCGGTGGGGGCGGGGGAATTCAGCTCCACAGACTATTAACGGGGGTTTGGGCCAAATGCCCCTAGAGCGACACACCCCGCTAGGCGAGGTTGGGGGCGTCCGGGCCTCTCACCTGACTTCCTCCTCCGCGGGCACACACACACACACACACACACACACACACACACACACACGTCTCCCCTTTTCTGCCATCCCCACCTCAACCCCCAAGACAAACAACGAACAACAAGAGGAAGCCGAGGGCGGCCAGAGGAGGGGTGCGCATGGCGGGGGGCCCTAAGAGGTGAGGGACGAAGGGTGGCGGGCGTCCCCCCCAAAGCGCACTTGCCAGCGCCCACACTTACCCTCGCCGCCGAGGGTCCGATCTTCGGCGCCAACCCCAGCGCGCGCCCCCTCGCCCGCCCCACCCCGTCCTCCGGCCCGCCGCCCCCAACCCCGGCCGGCGCGCGGGGAGGGAGCCCCGGAGCTGCGAGCGACAGCGGCGGCGGCGGCGGCGGCCGTGGCGGTGGCGCGGCTCGAGCTCGACTCAGCTCGGGCTCCAGCGCGCCTGCGATCACCGGCGGCCGCGGGGGCTCCGGCCGCCGCCAGGGGGAGAAGCCGGGGCGGGCGCTGGAGAGGCGGGCCGGGCCCCCGCCAGCCTGCCGGGCCAGCCCCGCGCCCCTCGGAGCTGCGCACAGGCTCCGAAGCGGCAGCGGCGGCGGCGCGAGGTCCACGGCGCTGACCCCGCCGGCTGCCCGCGCGCCCGGCCCGAGGCGCCGCGGCTGGATGCGCGCTCCGGGCCGCTGCGGGCTCCCGCGGGGGGCGCCCCGGCGGCTACCGAGCCGCTCCAGACTGCGGGCGCGGCGGCCGCCCAGCCCCAAGCGGCGGATCCCGCCGGCCCCCTCCTCCTCCCCCTCCCTCCCTCCCCCTCCCCCCCCCCCGTTAACATCTCCTCCCCCCCCTCCCTCCTTCCCTCGGCCGGGCGCGCTCGCTCGCTCGCTCCGCGCCTCGCTCTCCCCTTTAAACGCCCACTTCGGATGGGGAAAAAAGACAACTTGAAGTCAAGTTGCAATTAACTTCCGCGGCAGCCGCAGCTCGGCGACGGCGGCGGCAGGAGAGGCAGCGAGCCGCCGCCTCGGGAGTCCGACGCCGGCGCGCGCGTCCGCCCCGGAGCCGCGCCCGCTCTCCGGCCCGCACTCGACGGACTCCGCTGCCCCCAGCGCTCATGCCTGAGTGAGTCCGGCTCCTTCGCCTCCCTCTCTCCCCTGCTCCCCCACGCGCTTTTCGCTCGGGCCCCGTCTCGCTCGCTTTTTTCCCCCCCCCCGGAACCGATCCAAACTTCTCGGGTAGCCCCCGTCTGGAGTGCCCGTGCTTGGGGGCGGCTCTGCGCCCCGGTGCGGGGCGCCTGGCGGCGGCCCTTCCCTCCCCGACGGTGGGCTGATGGCGAGGGGGACGGCGGCAGGGATGTGTGGGGGGGGGGAACTGGAAGATAACCATGTGTGCTGTCTCTGGGTGTGGGCACTTAACACACCTGCCCGGCAGATCCTGCGTGCACAAAGTCAGGTCAGCTCTGTGGCCACTTTTAGAAGAGAAAGATCGAGGGGAAAAGGTCCAATGGGGGTGAGGGCGGCCAGGGAGAAAAAAAAGGGGGGAAGCTGCTCCGTGCGCCCCGGGGCTGGGCTGGCCGAGGAAGTGTGTGTGAGTGTGTGTGGTGTGTGGTGTGTGTGTTATCCGGCCAGACCGCGAACCGCTCAGCATCCCTGTCCAGCCTATTCCCCGCCGGCCCCGCTCCGTCCAGCACGCCTGCCCGCGAGCGGCCGCCGACCGGGGCCGGGGAAGTTTGCGGCAACTTCTGCATCCCGAGAGCCACTCGGGCGCCCGAGTTGGAGCTCGGAGTTTGCAAGCTGAAGCCTTGTGCGTTTCGAGCCCGCGGCGGCTATGGCGAGGTGGGCCGTGGAGGGGCTGGTAGCTTGAGCTTGAGTGCGGGTTTAACAGAGCTGGGCTGGAGGCGGAAGGAAGGGCTGCGCTCTTAGAAGGGGCCCCGCAGCACAGGTGCAGCTTCGGGGGGTCTCCACCGCGTCTCCTCCTGCCTGGCAGCCTGGAGCGCAACGCTCTTTGCTGGGTGCTTCTCCACCGTCAAAGGCGCCTGTGTGGCTTTGGGGGAAAATACGCAGAGAGGGACTAGGCGGACTGGTGGTGGCCGGACCAGGGAGTGATTGACACGTGCTTATCGAGGCAGAGGTGGGAACAAGATCCTCCTGGGATGACCCCCAGAAGCTCGGGAAGGGAGAGCGGTGTAGAGCGAGCTCTGGTTGGAGATTTGGGCTCTGGCTTCAACTAGGGCCAAATTTCATTTCTGAGTGTCAACCACAGGGTCATCTCCAAAGTGCCCTGCTCCACAACTTTTGACCTCCTCGTCATTCTTGGGACAACTTTCTCAGCTGCATTCGGGATTTCCAGGCAAGTGGTTTAAGATTTGCACTCCACATGATTATAAAAAGAGGGACAGGGAGTGGAAGAGAAAGACGCCCAGTGCCCTGGAAGAGAACCTGTCTGCCCCGGTTGAATTGGGGTTCCAGGTTCACGTCTCAGGAAGCCTGAGGTCCTGACTTTCCTAAAGAGTATAGAGGAAGAGGACTTTGAATGCAGAGAATACATTTCTGGGCTCCGTGTCAGGTTTTTGTCTTAAAGCAGTCTCTGGAATTTACAGTGTTTGTGCTATCGAGAGAGTAACTCGCCCGTGGAAACTTTAATAGAAAGGTACACCCTGTCCAAAGTGGATTTTTCTGGGAATTGTGAGATTTCGTCTATAGTGCAATGTTGCGGCGATAAATAAATAAAAGCTCCCCACTTTTCAGTCTGAAGAAAGGCAAGGTTGAGGTTTCTTGCTCTGAAAACCTTTCTGACTCTTTTGCGGTGCCAGTGCTGTGGTTTAGCAGGGTTCCTTTATTTCCATTGCATATTATTTTAGCAGAACACTAGTACATTCATACACTGGCTGCTCCAGTCTGCTGGCAAACATTAGCATTCAAGCTTACATTTTTGACAAATGTGCAGACAGGAATAGCATGAATAGGCATCTTAAATATTAACAACCTAAGCATCTGTTGTGAAACAAATTTAATATATTTACTCTGTTTTTCTCACATTGTTAGAAAAGGTTATAATAAGTGCATAATTCCAACTTTAGTTAGCAGAAGTAACCGGCTGTATCTTTCCCTACCTCTCCAAGTGTTTAACACAATCATCAGACAGAAAGACTTTAATTAACTTGGTTAAGCACAATATTAAATACACTTTAGACTATATACATACTACAGGAACACCTAACAGGAAAATGCAGAGCAGGCATCCTGTTTGTGCACATTTTAAATGACTACGCATTTTGTAAATACACCAAATATGTTGATTCTCCATCTCTACTTGACACTTATTACTTCATATTTGTTCTAATGGAAACAATGTTTTAAATGTAGAGTTGTTCAGTCAGATGTAATACATAATATGTAAACAGTAGCTATAAAATACAAAGCATTGTTAAATTTGAATATGGCTACATCTAACAAGATTATGCAAGAGAAATAAAATCACTGCTCAATTTTGCATTCCTTTCTGAATAATGAATACAAATGATGAAGAAAAAACATCAGGGATTTCCCTTCTAGAGTACCAGCTTCTAAAATGTGTGTGTGTGTGGTGGGGGGGAAGCTTGAAAAAAAAAAAGATAAAGCAAACCTAAAGAACTTCCCAAAGTTTGAATAGTTATTTTCAGAATCAATGCATTCCTCATTTTCCCACAAGCTGAAATATGTAATAAATAATAGTTCTTTGTATGGAAAAGTATTCAAAAGGAATGCCTTTTGTTCAGTTGTTGTAATAAATTAATACATTCTTTGGTTGATAATCTACAAAAGTGGTTCTTTTGTCTCCCAGCATCTTCCACGACAACAACAAAATGAATATTGGTTTATTTCTACAGAATTTATCTGTTGCCAGATTATATCAACCTGTGACTGAATAAGATAGGTTTTGCTGAGTGATAGTTAAGGAACATACATTACATTAGCAAGGTCTGACATATCTAGAAAGAATCTCAGTTATTTTTTTCTTGTGACAGGTTGTGGATTGTAAATTAGGCCTAAAAGGTCAGGTGACAGGCACCTGTTCCTAATTATTGTAAAAATCTTTTGGTTACAAACACTATCAAGCTAAACACAACATAGATATACAGCAGGGACTCTATAAAACACTCTAGTGGTTTTCATCTGCTTATGAATTTCCAGAAGAGCCATACACAGATATGCCTTTTATACAAATACAGCATTTCTCCTATACATGTTGTCTTGGCTGATTGCAGCTAATATGATAGTAGTACTTGGATCTGATGAAGTACTAAGTGCATATGCCTATATCTTCTGATTATGTCTAGTCATATTGTAGTTGAGTGCAAAAAAAAGTTCTGTTGAGAACTTCTTTTTCAACTGTAGTCTGTTGGTCAATTATCAGAAGTTAGTTTCTTGTTTTAAACAGAAACCTCTCCAAATTGCCTTTTAGACTTTGCAAATGGGTTCCCATGTTAAGTCATGCCACCAAATATTTTGCTTGATGTTCATCTAGAAGGGAAAATTAGTTGCTATAGGTTGTCATAGCTTTGTGACATATATAAAACAGGAAGAAAACCACATTTTACATGCAGATTGTTAGGATATCCTCATCTGATCTTCAAACTTGCCACTTGTCTAAGGAACATTAGGGTTCCTTCTCTTGGGATTAGGGATTGTGGCATGCTTTCTCTGAATTGTTTACCTGTAGATGTTTCAGAAAACAAAATAAACCTAAGGTATAGAAAAAAAAAAGCTAGCACAAGGTTGCAAGATGCTAAAGGTGCCATTTGCTTTTAACTAGCAAAAAGAGGATTTTGAGTAAATTAGGTAGCTCAGATGGTTACATTCAGTTATTTAAGCATATTCTTCATCTATTTTTTGGTTTTAAATAGTTTATGCTTAAGATATAAAGTATTCATTTTCAGCATTTACGATCAGATTACAAAATAGTCATTACTCTTGCTTTTCAAATTGATTTGGTTCTCAAACTCCAAAACTCTGTGATGATTTTAACAAATTGACTTACAGTTTCACAGAACCGAGTTAAGTTAATTAATAGATCAGGCACGAAAAAAGTCATCCACGGTAGGGTATGTTTCTGGTAAAATGAAAGTTATATTTCAGCATGTTGAGCATCAGGCTAAAGTAATCTGTTCCTCGTGTGGAATGAACACTTCCTACTTTGAGCTAGCAGGCACCTACTGTTTATTTACGCTGCATTAAACTGACAGCTCAGCAATCAGAGGAAAAATATTACTTACCTTCCTGAAGTAAATACCAGTTTATAGGTTAGTGCATGTATTTATATTCCTGTCACCATTAAATAACGGCTCTGTCT